GAGTCCAGGCAGGCCTCAACTTTGTACTTTTCTTCTTTCAACCTCCTGAGGAGCTGGGGTACTTCTATGAACCACGACACCAGGATTAGGAGCTGGCTATAATCTTTGAAAGTACTTTGTGCTGATATGTCTTAGAGTGGAGAAAGAATTACCTTCCTTTGTGTTTTGGTTTTAATGTTGGTATTGAACCCAGGGCCTTATACATGCTAAGCACATACTCTGCCATGGAGCTACACCACCAACCAAGAATTATTAACTGAAAAAAATTTTATTTCCCTTTTTAAATGGGTTTTATGAATGGTTGATTGTAGGGAACCTGGCTGAAGAGTAAAGGGTTAAACTGGAGTGAATGGTTAATCAAGAAGTTTATGTTAGTAAAGTATGTTGTAGCTGTTGTCCTTCCTCTTTCCCTAAGAAAAACTGCCTAGTCTTGAGGCAGCTCCTTCCTAAACTTTTTCTTCTGCTTTTTTTACTTACACTGGTTTTCTAAATAAAAGCTGGTGATTCCTCAAATTTCAGAGCTTCTCCTAGCAGTCTTCCCAGTGCTGGGCACTCTTGGTTGAGATAGCTCCTCTGGGCCTCTCAGAGATTACACTAAATCTTGTCTCCAAGTAATCATTCATCCTCTATGCCAACCAGGGTAGCACACCGATATAGTTGATGGATTCCAGTTGAAGAAAGCAACATTTTTGTTACCTTGTTGATTCAATCTGAGTGAATGCTGGCTATACCTTTGTTATTGCTAGAATATCCTTAGAATTCACTGTTGGTTTTGTTTTGTTTTGTTTTATGGTGGAACTGGGGATTGAACTCAGACCCTTGCACTTGCTAGGGAAGTGCATATTCCACTGAGCCATCTCCCTGGCCCCAAGGATTATGTTTTTGTGGTAGATATAAGTATAGGTTTTTTGTTTTTTTTTTTTCAGAACCAGGGATTGAACTCAGACCTCAGACCCTTGTGCTTGCCAGGGAAGTGCTTATTCCACTGAGCCATCTCCCCAGCCCCCCCTTCACTGTTGGTTTTTGTTTGTAAGACTGTTAATACAAATTTAACCAATGTCAAAGTTTAATGTTAAGAATAACTTAAGGATTGTTAGACAGTTGGTCTCAGTCTCACTTCTTTGTATCCCAAATCAGCAAGACACACAAAAGCAGTAAGAAAGGCAAAGACGGGGCTGGAGAGATGGCTCAGTGGTCTAAAGCACCTACTTGGAACAAGCTCGGCAAAGCACAAGGACCGCGGTTCGATCCTCCAGCACCACATGCCAGCCAGCCGCGCCCCCTGGTGGGCTGAGCTGGCCACACACACAATAAATAAATGTTAAAAAAAAAAAAAAGAAAGGCAAAGACATACTAATGGGAAACTAGCCCCATGACCTCCACCAAAGCCCATGTAAGGGGAGCTGGGTCTTAATGGACTGAAGAAAATGCTCTTGAGAAAGAAATAATAAATTGAACGTTATGCTTTACACAGCATGTTGAGTGTACCCGCCAGAGGTGGGTTGGGTTAATTCAGCCTATCCAAGTTTAAGTTTGTACTCTGAAAATGAATAAAAAGGAACACACTAGAAAAAAATAAAAATAAAGGGAAACTATACTTGAAAAGTGGTAGTGGTACTGCACAGTGCCTGTCTGCCACGCGCAAGGCACTGAGTTTGATTCCTGGTACCAAGAACAAAAAAGTGGTAGCAGCCTGCTGAGAAAATTCAAGGGAATTTCACTCTGGGTGACCCCATGCGTTTTAGGTTTGAGGTTTTTATGGCAGCCTTTTCTGGATCTTGAGGTCTGTGGTGTTCCTAACAGAACTCTGTCCCATTAACTGAGTCTCAACTCAGGTTGAAAGGGAGAGTCTTTGAGCTTTTGTGAGTTATAGCTGAAACAAGCATGGCTACCAAAGCCCAGCAAGGTGGTCAGAACCATGTGCTGATGATACTGTGCCAGTGAGATCACTAGGGTCTAAGCTTATGACAGCATATTCTGGGCAAGGGATTACCGAGCTTCTTCAGTGAAGGATTAGCTGACAAGTGTTGTGGACTTTGTGACTGTGGAGTTTAATCTATACATACCACTCTACCATTATTTTCGTTCTTCACTCTGCCACTCTATTGCAGATGCATCCATAGACAATATATAAAAACAAATGTAGGGTGAGCCATGGTGGTGCATGTCTATAATCCCAGCACTTGGGAGGCTAAGGCAGGAGGATCACACTGAGTTCAAAGCCAACCTGAACTACATAGCAAGACCCTGTCTCAGACAAAAAGGTCAGGGTATATTACAGCAATATTTACCAAGTTATATTTACTAACTTTATTTACTAAGCTAGGTTGTAAACCTGTTTTCTAAGCACTTAAGTCGATGAGATGAGTAAATAGTCCGCTGAAAAGTGCCTGGTGTCTGGGCATAATCCTGGCACTTTGGGAGGCTAAAGCAATTAAGACTGCATATTTGAGCCTAGCATGGGCAGCTCAGACCCTGTCTCAAAATCAAAAGAGCCAAGAACATAGTTCAACAAGAATCCCCTGTGTTTAGTCCTCAATGCCACCAAAGGGGCGGGGGTGGGAGAAGGAAACAGAAGGGCTTTTGAAGGACTGGGCCTGGAGCTATTTGATAGAGTATCTGCAGGTTCCATCCCCAGACCAAAGGGAAAAAAGAAAAAGTACAGTAACTAAAAATGAGGGCTAGGGATGTAGCTTAGTGGGATTACAAACATGTGTTATATGTGCTGGCAGGCCTGGACAGTATCACACCCTTACTCCACCTTTCCACCAAATTCGGCCACCTCCTAAAGGTCTCACCTATGAGTACAAGCTTCGGGTGGGTGGGGAATGTAGATATAAGCCTAACAAACATAACTTTTAAGTTGAAGTTCGTAGTGTATACTGAGGAACACACTAAATTTGGTTCTAAATGTTGTTACTCAGCTGGGTGTTGTAGTACATGCTTGTAGTCCCAGAATTTGGAAGGCTGAGACAGGATTGCTGTGAGTTCAATCTACATAGTGAGACCCTGTCTCAAAGTTTATTTATTTTATTTTTTACTTTTTTGGTGGCAGGGGTTGAACTCAGGACCTTGCACTTACCAGGCAGGCACTTAAGCCACTGAGCTATCTCCCCAGCCCCCCAAGACCCTGTCTCAAAAAAAAAAGCTGTTCTGCCTAGCATGGTGGCAATGCTGGTAGTCCCAGCACTTGGGAGGCTGAGGTAGGAGGATCACTCTGAGTTCAAGACCAGCCTGGGCTACAAAGTGATTTCAAGACCAGCCTTCAATTGCATAGTGACACCCTGTTTCAAAAAGACCAAAAAAAGAACGAAGCTGTTTTAAGGTAAAAGACCTCTTGAAAAGTACTAACTGTATCAAACCTCTGTTCCAAATGTAATAACCAGATATGCTTTTGAAGACTGTTAAGGGAATATTAAAATCAGAAAAACATTCGTTACTGGTAACATAGGAATAATAAGCAAAGCTAATATCTGTTTTCACGACTTTGTATATAAAGATCTTACTTGAACTTGAAGTTCTCAGAAATAAATGTATTCCTGATGTGTTGACATTGCCAACTCCTAATCATGATGTAGCTAGTTTAAATTTGAAGTGGGATTACAACTAGCAAAGTTTCAATTGCACATTAGGTGCCCTGACAGCACTGTATTTCTCTTTGCAGCTGAAAGAGATGATGATGTTAATGCATACTCGCTTAGATGAAGTAATGAAGTCTGTGAGGGAAAGGATGCCTGACCAGACCAAGCCAGAAAACTGACTCAGAACCCAGGCTTCAATATAGGCTTCAGGCCTTTCTGGTACCTTCAACCACAGAACTGCTTTGATCTTTTTTTTTTTTTTTTTTTTTTTTATTTATTATTCTTTTTTTAAAAAAATGTATTTGGTACAGGGTTTCACTATGCAGATCAGACTTGTAGTGATCCTCCTTTTTCAGCCTCCCCAGTGCTAGGGTTACAGGCACGCAGTGCCATACCTGGTCTTAGTGCCTGGCTTAAGGCATCCAGGGTGGTGCCAGCATGGCATGTGGTAGCAGAGATCAAACTCGATCCCTGGGTCCTTGTGCTTGCCTAGGCAAGTGCTTAGACCGCTGAGCTATCTCCCCAGCCCTTTTTTCTGGATAAAGGTCTGGTCTTGAGCTCTCAGTCCTCTTGCCTCACCTCTTTTTTTTTTTTTTTTTTTTTCTCACCTCTTAATTGGTGGAATTACAGGTACCTACCACCATGCCTAGCTTGTTTGGTCATTTCTTAGAAAAAATAAATGGGCTTCAAGAATTGGGAGAAGAAATTAAAAATAAAAACAAAGCAAAGAACTTGGGGAAAGGCTGGTGAGATAGATCAGCATGTTAAGCACCTGCTTAGGCAAGCATTTGGATGGGTTCCGTGCTACCGCCCCACCCCCGCTTGCTGAGCTGGCTATGGAGTCTGATATGGTGGTGCATGCCTGTAATCTCAGTGCTGGGGAGGCTGAAAACAGAAGGATCACTAGAGTCCAAGCTACATAGTGAGAACCTGGTACCAAATACTTAAAAAAAAAAAAGAATTTACTTTGGCCTATCAGCTTTATAGTATCTATCTATGGATTTCTTTGACTATAAATTTAAGGATTCAGGTGCAATATCCCATGGCTCCTGTGATCTTAAAGATGCATAGAGTTGGATTTAATTTGGATTACTATTATGTTTAATATAGAACAGTTGTGTTATATGAGTGCTAATGAATCCTTTGTTTTGTATTTTAGGACAGGGTCTATAGGGCCTCACTATGTATATCGGACTCCAAGTGATCCGCCTGTGTTCAGCCTCCCAAAGAGCTGGGATTACAGGCAAGCGCCACCGCGCCCTGTCTCAGTCGCAGTCCCAGCACACCATTGGGGAGGGGCCAGCACGGCATGCCAGGGATCAAACCCCAGCCGCTGTCTGCCTAAGCAGGCACTTTAGTCCACTGAGCTTTGGCTGGCCCTGATGAATCATTTTTTAAATGTAAAATACACATACATAATATCCTATCAAGGACATTAATAAACTGACTACATAATATATAATTTGTCTGTTCTTTCTCATTGCTAAGGTATATCCCCAGCTCTTTTTGAGACAGGGTCTTGCTGAGTTCCTAGGCTGGCTTCAAACCTTCAATCCTCCCACCTCACAGCCTCCCCACTAGCTGGGATTATAGTTGTGCAGGCCACAGCTGGCTCCTCTTCTTTCTTTTCTTTTTCCCCTTCCATTAAAAAAAAAAAAAAAAAATTGGGGCTGGTGAGATGGCTCAGTGGTCTAAAGCACCTACTTAGAACAAGCTTAGCAAAGCACAGGGACCGCAGTTCAATCCCCCAGCACCACATGCCA